AGCTAGGGAAAGGGTGGTCAACTACGACAGAGCCCCGCATGCAGTAGCAAGGCTAGTTACCGCCGCGAGGTCGCCTGGTATCTCGGAGGCTCCGTTCGCGGTGGCTCCTTTCGGTACGGATCGCGTAACAATTTTGTATTGGGAGGTTGTCAGCGTTACCTTATTGGGGATTCGGACCTGCAGGATGAAAGATCACTGCATGACGTTCAGCCATATGCCACCTGCCGACACGCTCTCAGTAGCTGCCCAAGCCTTGAGCCTCTACTCGTTACAGATAATGATGCAGTTTTTTTATGTATCTGTCTGTAGTATCATATAATCCTTTCATCTGCGTAATTTGTTAATGTTACAGAAACATGTCTAAGACATTTTCTAAGTCATTAAAGTACAGGAGATGTAGAATGGGACCAAGTAACTTCCTTGCAGGACGCCAAAAAACTTCTTTAGAATAAGAATATTATTTGCTTACCATCAAATTTCAAACAGACTTTTTGATATCTTTTAGAAAGATAAGATTTAAACCAATCGTAGCCATAACCACGAATACCCATTGTGAAAAGTTTTATAAGAAGTAATTGGGGGTTCACACAGTGATACCTTTGACAGGTCTAAAAAGACACCATGAGCTATAAATTCGTACTAGTGATCGAAAAGGTATAAGGTTGAAAACCTTCTATTACAAAATTTCTAAATGGGGTTTATATGTTAATTTTTTACGATGACTTCAGGCCACACAGCTTAGGTAAATTAAGTTTTTTCTCAATTTATAATTTTTCTGTAAATGAACCCACGATGGCTCTAGGCCGCATAGGTTAGGTAAATTAGTAAAGTTTTTTTTTAATTAGAATACTAGGATAATATTTATATTTTCTTTCATATATTTTACATTTAGAATCAACCGTGCGAATTCAATGTGTGGGATTAGAGCGTCCCCACTGTGACAATACTATTAGGTACTTTACCGTCTCAGTACACGTCTATATTCCATTCTTTAATGTTAAGATTTTTATTTGAAAACATTGCAATGTACAAAGTTTGCTCTATGTGTTTTCAAATATGATGGCTTGACACTAAACGAATGGAACGGACACAAACTAAAACGGTAAAGTACCTAATAGTATTATTACAGTGGGGGTGCTCCGCATACTTTGATTTTCTTTTACTATACGGAGAATGGTCGCACTGCGCAGCTTTCTGAGTGCCTTTCAAAAGGAGATAGAAAACTCCGCCATTTTGATCCCTTATTATGTGTTGCCTACATCTTTGCTGCGTTTGAGAATCCACATCGGATGCATCTGAGATGTAAAAAATCTTTGATCACGTGATTCAGTATACGTAAATGTAATGGGACAGATGTGTCCGATGTGGATAAAAAAACGCTCGAGATGTAAAAAATGCATCTGATGTGGATTCTCAAACGCAGCAATTGGTGCAATATTTTTAATAGGTGCGTTTGAATCAGTGTTGTTCCTAGGGATTTTTGAATTGTACAACTTTCAGTGTCAAAATTGTACACTTTTACTTTCGATTGCACAACCACTAATTAATCTTCTTCTTTTTTATTGACAGACTATGGCCTACTACTTTCTTCTTTTTTCCAGTTTTAAACATATTTTTGATGTAAAACGGTGTACTGATTGGTCGCGAATGGCGCCAAATTTAAACTTTTATTTTTTTATTAATTTTAATGCATGTTATTTAACAAATCGTAGACTTTTTGCGCGAAGAAAACCTTTTATATACCCGATTTTACATAAATATTTAGTAATTTCAAATTGTACAACATTTCTGTCTTTTTTCAAAAGTGCGTACAACAGTACAACCGCATAACTGATTGTACAACTTTTTGTACAATTGTACAACCAGGAACAACACTGGTTTGAATCATCCGCTTCTGCTTCGGAATTGTCGCTTTTCTTGTTTTAATCTGACAGGTTAAAACCAATGAACTGGAGTGGGGTAGATCCACATACTTTGATTATATACGGTGCAAGAGAGAGGTCCGACACGCCCAACATAGGGCGCGGCCATTTTGATTCCTATGCCACAGTTTATAGCCATGGATTACTTGAATAGATGGGAAACTCAATGGTAAAATTATGAGTCGATGTGCTGCCATCTATCAAATTGGAGTGGTACTAAAATTCAATATGGCCGCCACGAGCGGGCTTTTTGAAATTTAACTTTGTAGTAGCGCCAAAATGTAATAAAGAAAATCAAATAAAGCAAAAAAATGGGAAAAATATTTGACTAGTTTTAAATCATAAAACAACCATATTGACTGTTTTGTGATTTGAAACTAGTCAAATATTTTGCCAATTTTTATCTTTATTTGATTTTACTTCATTATATTTTTGCATTAATTTGAAACTTGAAATAAAATGCAATTTATTTTATTTATTACAGTAAATTAACGCCGCATCATATAATTTGTCTATTTAAACATGGAAATACTCAAACAAATATGCATTTACACCATTTAAATAATTAAATATTTATAAAACAAACCTATCAAAAATGTTTTCTGTAACAAAATCAGCATATATAAGACCTTTATAAAAGTTTTACGACTTGGAGTGGCAAATAAGTTTGAAAAAATTGAAGTCGAAGCATCATCCTTTTTTACTATTGAGGCAAATTTGAGTGTGGATAAAATTTGCCATACGGTTATTAAGTTGACTAGTTAGGTTGAGGAGCATTTCTTCATCCGATAATTGTTTTCTTGATTCATTTATACAGCACTTGTAGTTATCAAATTTTTATTCATCATGTGGGCATGGTGATAAATAAATTTAACTTTTGAGCATAAATTAAACTTACACACGTTTGGAACCTTGAAGATTTTAGGGTGTTTTCTTGTTTGATGTCAATGGCATTGAATCAATTTTTGATATTGATGGCTGAGGCTCAAATATTTCATCGATCGACAGGGTATTTTGGAGGGCCAACATTTTCTTTACAAAAATGATAATTTAAGAACTGAAAACAAAAAGAAATTTAAATAACAAACCAATTATTTTAACACTGAATCAAATACAAGTTTGTAAATATTACTTACCGTTGGTACAGTGATGGTGCATTTTTCTTAAGACACTTATTACAATTTGGGGGACGACTGCATATTTAATGTGGTATAAATTGCATTACTACCAATATCTGGGAGTGCTTTATTGTTTGTTGCTGAAATCCATCTTCCCATCTTTTGAAAACATGCTTAAAATTGGAAGGTGTTGAAAAATAAATCTAGATTCTAGATGAATCAAAATTCAATTCACCTTCAAATACAACAGCCATTTTATTTTATCTGAGTTTGAAGTTTTGACGAGCTGACAACTGACATGACAGTTCGATACGAGCGCCATCCCGTTAATTGGAGTGGTACTAAATTACCAGCCTCATGTTTTTCCATTTGAGTTACCAGCCCCTGTTTATAGCTAAAGAATCAAATCGCTCACTCTGTGTCGGCACTTTTGATCTCAGTGTTCCAGTTTATACACTGCGCAACTCGGATAATACAATATATGACAACCGCCTATAATAAAACAGCAGTCTTCTGCGTATCTTGAATTTGTATCCCTGGAGTGGATGTTATTTTGGAACTTTCAACTGGTCCGAGTGAGTTAACTGATTCTTTAGCAATAAACTTTGACTCCAAAAATAATATTCACTGACAAAATATCAGGTGCGTTTTAATCGTCCGCTCCTGCTTCCTGAATTGTCGGTTTAGTCGTTTTAACCTGTCAGAGAAGAGAACAACGAATTTCGCAATATAATATGCTTTCGAACTTATACCATTTCGACTATATATGATTTCGATAATTTTTTACTTTTGTCATTCGAACATTTGTACTTTCGAAAAATTTTGCAATCGAACTGATTTCCGCTTTTTTTCACTAACGCACGCTCCATATAGGTCTTTTCCTTTGTATCGAAAGTAGCACACTGAGCTGCGTCACTTCTGAAAATATCGTTCCATCCATACAATTTGTATATATGGAACGATATTTTCAGAATTGGTGTAGCCCAGTGCTACACTTTCGATGCAAAGGATAAAACCTTATGATTCTTATTTCTTTAATTATAGCAGCCTTTTGCTTTATGTAATCGCCTTTCTTATATGTTTACGGCAAATGTAAACCCACCCTTAGACCATTGCAGTGCTACCACTTTTGAAGTAATTGGATAAACCAATGAACTGGAGTGGGGTAGAAAGCTAATGTGCATATTGTATCAATTGAACAAGATGCGACTCGATGGGCGCAGCCATTTTATTTCTCATCTCACTCGGGAGTATTTATAATAACCATTTTCTGTTTCACATTGTTATTGTTCAATCCACAAGCTGGTGGATCAGACAATAACAAAGTGAAATAGAAAATGGTCGTTATAAATACTCCCGAGTGAGATGAAAAATAACCTGTCTTCGCCCATAGAGTCGCATCCAGGGTTGCCAATCGTACGGTAATTTCAATTAATGTACGATATATGGTCCAAAGTCATTACCGTACATAAAAGTACGGTATTTACATAAAAAGTACGGTATACGTACGGTATTTAAAATGCAGCAGATGTTCTTAAAAACTTCAAAAGGATCTAGTCTGTACAAAAATACAAAATATAAGCTAATATAAGGCCTTTTTTTAGAAGCTAGGTAAAAAGGACCAGACGATGATTAAAATAATATGATGAGGACCTTTTTTTTTTTTTTTTTTTTTTTTTTTTAGAAACACGACACGAAGAGTTACACAATATAGTTTTTTTTTACAAAATACAAGTGTACGGTACTGGCAGGCCATGTACGGTAATTTGAATTGCGCGGTACGGTAAATGGAATTTGAAAAGTTGGCAACAGTCGCATCTCAAGCCTACTGACAAGCATTCTACCCCACTCCAGTTCATTGGGATAAACTGATGATGGTTGAGAGCTAGGAGCTAACGGAAGAAATTAAAGCAACAGGCCATTTAAAAAGCAGATAAATAATGTCAATTGTCAGTATTGTCACTAATGTCAGTTGTTTTTCAAACTCAAAATTCAAACCATTTCAACTTTTTTAAATTCAAACGATAATGGAGAATATAGAAGAGGAAATTCTAAGATTACACCATACTTTATTAAAGGATGTAAATATTCCATACAAACAAGCCGATTGCCATAGAAAAAGTATTGCTCACTTTGTAAAAGCATCTTTCAAAAAGTAAGAACCAATATAATACATTTTTATTAATATAAATTATATTATATATTAAACACTTCATTAGACCTTATCATTTTTGTTAATTATATGTACGTACCTTTGTTTTAGCTTGAACAATGAAAATACATCAGCTCTATTAGATAACAAACTTCAAACATATTCCAACATTGCACACAATACTCAAGAAAGTATTTATGAAGATAAATTAAAATCACTTCTTTCTCAGACGAAAAACGTTACTGGAAATAATTTTAAATCAAATTTAAATACTATAAACGCGAAACAATATATAAAACCATTACCTTGCACTAGTAGTAAAACTTTTTGCATGCAGTCTGAAAATATTGGTGAAGAAGAATTTGATGAATTACAGGATATTTTTAAAGATTTAAAAAGGTCAACTGCAACTAAAGCGCCCAAAATACACTCTACAAAAATTAATTCCAAGCAACCAGAAAGTAGTTTGTCAAATTCTAACACAACTTCCATGAAAAGAACTCAAAAAGAAAATTCTGGTGCAGGTATGTTTAATAATTGTTTTAAAACTGCCAGAGAAGAATTGGAGGTTCAAAGTTTAAAGAATAAATATGGAAATGTACAACAAAGCTCTGGGGATTCTGCTGTTCTCCAGAAAAGGGGACCAAGTAAACTTGGAACTAGAAGGAATGTAGGTGGAAAGTTTATTCCACCAATAAAATCATATAGTGGAAGGTATTTTTTTTACCAAGCAGTTTTAATAGTTCTTATACTTATTTGTATTTTAAATTATTTATTGATTGTGATAAAGGATTGATTTGTTATGACCACCAGGAAGTCCTCGCATACCTTTGGTTTGTTTTGCCATTTCATTTTTAGAAATATTCCTTTATTAACATTTGCAAAACTTTGTATTAGTCAAGGGCGGCTCCAGGTGAAAATTCTTACGATTTATGGGCTTTCTATTAAAAAAAAATATGCTAAAAGGGAAATGGCTAAAGGCAATGCCCCCCTCCGAAAATTCGTATTGGAGCCGCCCTTTGTATTAGTGATGATATAATTTGTGTTCCTATGGATCAAATATCTAGTTTTTTTTAACTATTATTAATATTTAATTTAAGTGATTTTGTGATTTTTAGATCTTATAAGTAGATAACATTTTTTATTCTTAATACTTAATACTAAAAATGAAAATTCACAATGTATCTTGCAAAATTAATGGAACACAAAGTATGTCATACTAATACAGTGTATTGCAGTTCTTAGCTGTTTTATATTTGTTAATGGATTCTCCATTATTGGATTGTGATTTTGGTAACATAGTACTTACAAATCGAGATACAGTTAGATTCTAGCAACTATACAGGGTGTTAAAAAAAAAGTGTCACAAAATAAAACGGAGGGTAGTATGGGCCAAAATATGCAGAAAAGTCTTAATAAACATATGTCCGCAAATGAATGGTTTCAGAGATACGGAGTGTTTTGTATCATTTTTTGATTATCTTTTTTCATTCTCAAAAACTTGCTTTTCGGAGTCTACCGATGTTTTTTCATAGATACTATTTGCAGTTATTATTTTGTTGTGGGTGAATAATTTTATAAATTTTCGTTATGCCTGTTTACACTAATATTGAATTAGCTGACATGCATTTTATGTACGGTCGTGCAAATGGCAATGCATTGAAATGGAGGGAGGGCACTTTGAACATCTCATTTAACTCTATGTTGTTATTGATTGTTTATAAATATCATTGTTTTTTTATAATAATAAAAAATTGTTATAAACACAAAATGGTCCGTATCTCCGAAACCGTTAATTTGCGGTCATATATTTATTAAGACTTTTCTGCTTATTTTGGGTCATACTATTCACCATTTCATTTTGTGACACTTTTTTTTTAACACCCTGTATACCATGAGAGCCCATGGCCAAAATTTTGAGTTATTTCGGCATGGGTTATTCATAATTCTAAGAGAAAAAAAGCATTAATATACCTAGGTCAAAAGAAACAACTTTTTTTATTAAGAAAGGTTCAATTTGGTGGTATCTACCTAATTGTGTTATCAATTGTCAAAAAAGGCCCTGTCAAAATATAGTGGCACAGATAAAACCTTCGCTATTATTATTTTCCTTAGGATCCAAAACATCGGAAAAGAATTGAAACTCTCAATTCCTGCATTGCCCGACACTGGAAAATGTTATTTTGGTTGATTGTAATTACAGTTTGAATTTCTAAATCTTAGAGTTCTGTAAATTTTTCCAATTTCCTTTGGAACAAAAAAAAAGAATCATAGAAATCAGACAAGGTGGTAAAGAATTATATCTGAACATATATATAGAGAACCTTTTTTTGAAGTCAAGTTCGTTAAAAAAGACATAGAGAGAGCGTATTTTAGAATTGCAGTGGATCTAATTCAAAATATAATTTAGCTAAAAAGATTACTTAGATACTGAAGCAATAGCATGTGAAATCTATTATAGATATATTTGAGTCAAAATCATGGAGATAATTTAAATTGTTTGCCAGTAAAGGTGTGTCAATGATAGGAAATTATGTAATGCGTAAGAAGGATATTATAGAATATGTTTTAGAGTAGTTCATGAAGGAATACTGAATGGTAAAAGTGATAATAAACTGGGTGCAGTTATTCGATTATTAATAATTTTATATAAAAATAACATTGACAATAATTTTTGTTTACTTTCTAAAGAGCCCAACATCCTTCAACTTATTTATTTATGTATTTATTTATACATTGTTCAACAGGTTAAACCCAATTACAGAACAGAAGTACATTTGAAAGAAAACAGTTTAACAAAAAGCATATAGATAATTAATCTAAAATTACAGTAAATAAATTCTAAATTATTTTAAACAATGTGTTTTTATGTTTTTAACACTGCAATTAAATATATCCAACTGTTCACTAATATTATAATTATTACACATGTTATATACAGGTGAAAACTTCAGAACGTTTGTCCGAGCAGTCGCTATGTAAAATGATTCAGTGTTTCGAGAGGTTGCGCGTGGGATTCTAAAATTAAGCATATGTAAAAGAGCTTCACAATTGATTTTAAAATTAACAACTTTGTAGAGGGTAATTATGGAGAAGTACTTTCGTCTTACGTCGAGACTTGTCAATCTGTGTCTAGTCAGTAAAGCATTTTGAGTAATACCAATCGGTGGATAAATTTGGTCTGCCCGAAAACTTAAGTATTTGAGGAAACGCCTTTGTGTGGACTCTATCCGACAAATGTGTATTTGATAATAAGGATCCCAAATAAACGAGGCATATTCGAGTTTAGATCGAACAAATGAGAAGTACAATGATTTAATAGTATCTGTGTTTTTAAAATCACGGCCCACTCGTACTATGAATCCATACATACGATTTGCAGCTGTTGAGATGTTATCTATGTGGTATTTAAACGACAATACTGGGTCAAATGTAACCCCTAAATCCATAAAATTGTTGGGTTTAGAAAGCAAACGTCCATCAAGGACATAATCGAATATAATTGGATGCGCTTTTAATGTGTATGACATTACGTTACATTTGACGGGATTCAGTGTAAGACCATTTTTGTTGCACCATTCAACAACTTTGTTCAAATTTTCCGACAACTGTTCACAGTCAGAAATATTTTCAATAGCTGAATATATTTTTAAGTCATTAGCATACAGCAAATAATCAACATTTATAGCGTCACCAATGTCGTTGATAAAAATATTAAATAACAGCGGACCCAAATTTGAACCTTGCGGTATACCAGAGGTGGCGCAATATTTGTTAGACTTGAATCCATTTAATTGAACATATTGTGTTCTTTGAGAGAGATACGATTGAAAAAGTGTGATCAAACTATTAGAAAGACCAAATGCGCAGAGTTTCTGTATCATAATATTATGATCAAGTCTATCAAATGCTTTTGTCATATCCGTATAGATGACGTCATTTTGGACCCGATTATCAATATTTTCAGCTATTTGCTGTGTGATCACAGAAAGATTTGTTACTGTGGAACGCCCTTTAACAAAACCATGTTGCTGAGCTGAGATTGCGTTACAAACATGTTGATAAATACTACGTTCCAGTAATATTTCTAGAATTTTGCAGAAATTGCAAATGATAGAAATCGGCCTATAATTTTTGATATCAGTACGTTCACCTTTTTTAAAAATTGGGCAGACTTTAGAACATTTCCACATCGAAGGAATTGTATTGGATTTAAGGCAGATATTTAACAAAATAGTTAGAGGGCGAGCTAATACTGCTGAACAATCTTTTAAAATGAACGCAGGAATATGATCCGGTCCTGTGGTACGTTTAGGTTTAATGTTTTTTAAAGCATCCTGGACCTGGGTTTCAGAAAAATAAGTTATATGAAGCTGAGATGGCTGGACGTCCTTTAATGATATGTTTGAACCCTTGGAAGCGACATAAGATTGTCCAAAATATTCCGCAAAGCTTTCTACTATTTCTGTTGGATTATTTAATGTTTTATTTTCAAAACTCATGGTGCTTGCAACTTTACCTTGGCATTGTTTATTATTAACGTATGTCCAAAATTTATTTGAATTTGCTGAGATTTCAGATTCAAGATTTGCTATGTAATTTTTATAAGCTTCAGATACACAAGTTTTAATTTCAGCTCTGATGAGCTTAAATTCTTGAAGAGCTTGTATATTCTATATATATATTGTATATTGTATCTTATGTCGAAGGTTGTGTGGAAAAAATTCAAAGGCAAGCATGCCTAAGTACCACGGGAGCCATGAGAACGACTCCAACAGCAGCTATAGAAGTCATGCTAAACCCATCATCACTGTATATTATATACATTCAAGGTGAAGCCAGGTCTGTCATGTACAGACTGCATGAAGTTCCAGCACCCATAAGCTGTTTGCATGGACGTGACAACAGCAAGCTATAGAATATATAAAGAGTTGGAGAATGACCAAATAATGGGAATGCCTTCAGACGAAATGCTCCCAAAGTATAGCTTTCAAGAGCAATTTAAAGTATAAGTATACCAGACAGGGAAGCGTGGATGGGAGGACCTCCTAACACGCAGAATTCACCTGGTATACAAACGGCTCCAAACCCATAAAAGTTCAGGACATAAAAAGGTAAAGCCGAGATCATTTAGAGATAAATATTTGCCAAGATGAGATCATTTTGGCAAGTCAAGATCCATTTTTCGGACCTCGATTTTCCAAGTGTGTATTTTAGTGTCATTCTTTTCCATCTTACTCAATAACGTTAAATTTCAAATTTTGGGCCGGACCTCATTGTCCACTATTTTTCCGTTTTATACATGAGAAACTTTGAGAGACTGTCGGTAGAGGTCGCAGGTGTAGACCAATATATAAGCGATATCTGAAGACAAATTTGATTTATGTCATGATCCGTAAATCTATCAATGCAGGCGATCTCAACTGAGTCATAAAATGTAACAATTAGATAAGGTACATATTTTGTAGTAGTATGCATATTGTAACTCCAAGGATTTTTGACCTATTTTATGTCGAATATCTCGGGACTGAATGATGTTTTTATTGATCAATTTCTGTTGATTAAAGTTTTTTTTAATATTTCCGAATATAAAAGAACATAAAATTCAATAAATCCTTATTTTTTTTATTAAAAATAAAACAAGAACTTAGATAGATAATAGTATATTCTGTAACAAGGTTGGAATGAAAATTTGATATGAGTAGAAGGTGCTG